CATGCCCACAGATGCACTAACTTATAGATACCAGTTATAGATGTTATAGATACCAGTACTTCTCATCAACTTTGAGCATTATAATCACTTGGAGAGTTTTTAAAAATATGAAGTCAGAGTTTCACTGTAGACCAATCGGACAGTCTCTGGTCTCAGCATTTTCCAAAATCTTTCCAAGACATATGCTGCCATCAACTATACCCATGAGTGCATATATCTCAGCTACCAGAATGTTTGTGGGCAAATTGTCTAAGTACATATTGTACAGTCATATTCAACATGCATCCAAGAACCAGAAAAAAGTAGCATGTTGGTTATACTTTGCATCCCACGATTCATGCATAATCACTCTTTGTTGCTGGTAGAGAGGCCCATGGAAACTTAGGGTTGGCTATTAACATGTTATTGCAGCTTGAGTAAAATGTTGTGGGAAGGAGGTCTCTTTTCTCCTAAGGAGGGGGGACAGTTGAGAGAGTGGTTTTAGGGAAGCCTTGGGGGGTAGCTGCTATTTTTCTCCAGGTGTTTGATGTGACTGACGGCCCCTGTCTGAACTTCCTAGTCATTTGCCATTTCATTAGCTGCCAGGTTTTCAATTTCTGCCTCTTGGAAGTTACACCGCTTTGAACAAGTCCCCACAGTAATTGAATTTGCCACAGAAATAGAACACTGGAAAATTTCATTTTCTTCTTCCCTGCATGAAGGCAAGCAAGCGGGCAGGGCATACACACATATTCCTTCTGGGCTGCTCCTCTCTTGTTCACAGGCTCCCATTCCCTACCCTTCCCCCCATGCATTCACTAACCCTCACAACCATCCTGCTCCCAAAGCAGGTATATAGTCACACAAAAAAGGCCTGCTTTCAAATCATCTCAGAGTGCATCAGCCTGTCACTTTGTAATTTTCTTCTAAATGCCTTCCACAAATAATGGTTTTCAAAATGAGCATTAACAGGCTTGATTACATGAAATTGTCCTTTTAATTTACACCAGGATTCTATTGATCACACAAGTGCAGATTAAAGTGTTCAATGAAGCCCGTGATGAGGTATTAACCAGCTAAGGGTCCTCCAGGGGCCGCCAGGGAGGCCAGGAATATGCTAGAAGTGTACAGTTATTTCCCCATAATGAAGTGGCACTATGCGAAGGCATGAATCGCTGGCAGGAAGAATAGATCGGAGATGATGAGCTCTTCAAAGTCATTTCTCCCTCACTCATTCAGCCTCATGCCCAGATCCTCTTGCGATTCTTCTGCATTACTTGTCATGAAATGCCAGGATTTACTTAGCCAGCTGATGCAATTTTTATGACCTTATTGCTTTTTCACCATGGTAATAGTTTTGAATCAATTTATCAATCCAGCGGTGCCATCAGACATATTGCCCTGAAGATCAAGTCCAGGTCATTCCATCAATTCACTGCGGTTTACGAAGATAGAGAAAAAAGCCAGGCCGTGCGGGCTATCAACTTCAAATGGCTTAGTAAACATGCCTCGGCTGCTTTAACTGCTTCACTTCTGACTCTGGACCTTTGTGCTTATGCACAAGACCACCCAGATCAACCCAACAGATCTTGATTTCAGTAGGCACAGCCCCAAAGTAAAGAGGCCTGGTAGAGCAAGCAGCATCTCTGGAAAGTCCCCAAGCAAAGTGGTTGGATCAGAAGTTGAAAGTGTGGCTTGGTCTTGCACACAAAACCCATTGTGATATGCTACCCAGGTGACATAGCTTTGGTCTCAGCAGCCAGAGGACTGAGCAGTTGACGAGGAAAAGGAAGGAGACTGTGAGGTGTACTAGTATTCCTTTCGTAATAGGTTTTGCAAAGGGGTTGGGATTCATAATCCAATCCATCTTTTCTCTATAGGGGCTGCTAGTCGGTGATAATGGTTTCAAAAGATGAAAAACCTGTAAGTCATTTTTCACAGGATGAAATGTCATTGAGGGCAGGGCATAAAGAAAGAATAGCACACTTATTGGAAGAGATGATCTCTTAGGAAGAGAATGAACATTCCTTGCTCAGGGGAGAGAAGGTAGAGGTGTGATAGGTGTCAATCTGGCCATGAAGTTAAGCTGTTAGTGTTTGAATGGGTAAAACACTAGGTGTCTCTCAGGAATTTAGTTTAGTCATTACATTTGCTGTATTCAGAGAGTCCTCTTAGTTTATTTGTATATTCCTAGTATTTATGCATTATGTCAAAATTTGAAATCCCACAGCCCAGATTCTGGTAATAACTTGTTTGCAGAAAAAAATGTGACAATGAATTTAAATATTGTTAAAGCATGTATTGTTTGAGAGGCCTTAATAGAGATTAAATACATACTATCAGCTTTGTGCTTTGCTTGGAAGCTGCTATATTCAGCATTTAAAATGAGATTTGTCAGATCCCAAGCTTATGTCGATTCCATAAAAGTTTAATGATCTACTTCCAGGTCTAGCAACGTTTAGGATTTATTTACAGTCTCTATTATAAAATTTGTCCAAAATATACACATTCCCCCAAAGAATTCTGAGCTCAGAGGCAGAAATATAAATGCACAAAATGAAATATAGCAGATGGTAAAATCTCTGTGTGCTAGGCAGTTTTTTCCTCTTTAATCTGCTTTCTTTCAGTTTACTTTTCTTCCTCTATTTGGTAAATACTGAAGGAGGCAAGAGAGGGCCTTTTGTTCCCAGGGAACCATTTAGGGTTGTCTGTTGAGCAGATTGAATATCATAGGAAAAGATCATTAATGAAGACTCCTCCTTCCCCCTGGGTAGTTAGCACACTTGGAGTTGGAAATCAAGATAAGAAACCAGGAATCATTAAATCATGAAATGTGAGAAGGAAGAAACTTTAGCAATCATCTAAGGTAAGTCCTTCATTTTGCAGACGAGGAAACAGCAATCTTCTACCGGAGTTGTTGGTTGTATATGGTCCTCTCATCATAAAACTCAATGACTCGGAACCTTTTACTATACAGCCTCTGTGCTGAAGGCACATAAACACCTTGCTTCAAAATCCCTTGACTTCCTCAAGTCCAGCAATGGTGACATGCACCCTCACCATCCTTCAAACATGGCAGTGTCTGACAGCTCATCAGTTACATTAGTCATTCTCAAACTTTAATCACCCAGGCGGCTTGTAAGGAACACAGACTCCTAGGCTTCATCTCCAGGGATTTTGTCTGTATTCTTATTCTGTGAATTAGTAATCTGCATTTTAACAGCTGATACCAGTGCAGGTGTTCCAGGGTTCACATTGGCTTTAAATGCTGACTTTGCCACTTAATTGGTTATATGATTTAGAGCAAGTGGCTAAATGACTTTAATCCTCAATTACATCTGTAAAATGGGCCTACGAGTACCTATCTTATAGGATTGCTGTGGTAGTTTGTGATATTATATGAAAAGCATGTAGAAGACATTTCCACAGGGACTACCTTCACTGCTCTGTGCATGTAATTTAGGCCAATATACAATTTTCTGTGTGACAGTTAAGAATGGTAATATCTGATTATTCGTGCTACTGATTTGGAGTCCTCCGTTATTTTTTTGCTGAGTCTCTGTGGGGTATTCACAGGTAATGCTGTCGGGTTCACATTTTTAAGTCAGTCATACTTGCTCTTTATCTGATGTTCTAATCTTAGGGAGATCATCTTCTTGGTGGTTACTGGCTGTGAACATGCGTTTACAACTTTTGAGGTGCCAAGGAGACTAATTATTATGAGCATGACTAGAGGCCAAGTGCACGAATTCATGCACATAAGGGGTCCAGCCTGCCCACCCTGATTGGGGCCATCTCGATGGGCCAGGGGGAGGGGATGAGAGAGGTTGGCCGGCTGGCTCCGCCCCCTGGCCAAACTCCTGGTAGAGGGGCCAATTTGCATATTAGCCTTTTATTATATAGGATAATTCTCAATGTCTGAAATTCATTTCAGAGCCAAACAAATTAGGATAAAGTAAGTTTAAAAAAGACCCAGTTTTAAGGAGTCATTTTCTTAAGCCAACTGGCTTCTTCTTATGTAGCTGAGTCTCAACTTCCTCAGAAGTGGCAATCCAACATATGAGGTTACCTTTCTTGCTCACACATTTTGTAATAGAGATAACATGAGCTTATTTGACTTTTAGTAAACCTAGGTGGAATAAAGTATTATATTTAATTCTAATAACTCTAAAGACATGTCTGCTTTATTTAAACTAACAAACTTAAACTAGAAGTTTATCTTAGATCAAGTAACCTTGACAAACATTTGGTAAGACTCAAAGTCTCATGAATGTTTTTTATGTTATTTTATTTTTTTAATCTTTAATTTATTCATTGGTTAAGGTATTACAAATGTGTCCTCATCCCTCCAATAACCCACAACCTCCCCCCACCACACACACACACTCAAGTTCTCATCCCCTGTCGTCCATGTCCATTGGTTTGGCTTATATGCATGCATACAGGTCCTTTGATTGATCTCTTCCCCTTACCCCCACCCTCCCCTACTTTCCCTCTGGGGATTGATAGTCTGATCACTGTTTCTCTGTCTTTGGATCTGTCCCTGTTCATCAGTCTATGTTGTTCTCTATATTCCACAAATGAGTGAGATCATGTGGTATTTATCTTTCTCTGACTGGCTAATTTCACTTAGCATAATGCTCTCCAGTTCCATCCATGCTGTTGCAAATGGCAAGAGTTCCTTCTTTTTTACTGCAGTGTAGTATTCCATTGTGTAGATGTACCAGGGTGTGTTTTTTTTTACTGCATTTCTGTGAAATGTCCCTCCGCCCACCCCCCCATAGGCATATCCCTGGAGGCATTACCCTACAGAAAGCAGATTAGTGACTGCCTGGGGCTAGGGTGGGAGGACAGGGCGGGGCACTGGGAAAGGGAGGCGACTATTAATGGGTTTGAGTTTAAAGTCCTACAATTGGCTCCTCTCTGAGGGGGCGTGGTTGGACTCTAGGGTGGACCCAGCCAGCTTAAAACCCTGCAGAGGTGCAGCAGCCCACTCTGTGGTGGCTGTTAAGCGTGGAGGCATGGAGGAGTGCGTTTGCCTCTGTGGTGTGGGCTCTTCGAGGGGATGTCGGTGTCCTCAGAAGTGCCAGGGCTCAGCTGAGAGGGCAGCGGCTGAAGGCAAGCCAGTCCTGGCAGAAAAGCACCTCGAGGCTGACGCAGCAGCGCGGTGCTGTGCGGGGAGTGGAGGAATTGCAAGTCCCAAGTCGCCCCCGCACTGCTTGCTGCAGGACCTGCCGGTGGAGATACTGGTGGAGATCTTCGCCTCGCTCCCCGGCACCGACCTGCCCAGCCTGGCCCAGGTCTGCACCAAATTCCACCACATCCTGCGCACCGACAGCATCTGGAGACGGCGCTGCCACGAGGAGTTTGGCGTTCGTGAAAACTTGCAGAACCTGGAGATGATGGGTATGTCTTACCGAGAAGTCTATGCGAAGCTGTTCCCATACAGAAACATTTTGGGTTTGTGGCAGCTAGATACTGAGGACTATAGAACAATAGTGAATGTAGTGGTGGACGGTTTATGCATTACTGGTTGGAGGTACAAGCCTTCCCTTAACACCCATGTGGATGACCCAATGCAATTCGAGCCCTCGTTTAGAATTCGCCTGAGGGAGAGGAAACCAGCCACGGTGGAGTGCATGGACGACATGTACTGCTTTTCCAACAGCCGCCACATGCAGATTCAGAAGAACAGGTTCAGCATCCAGTGGATCAAGAGAGACCACCAAAAGGATTTAACAACGTGGCTTAGGAAAGAATGGCGGCTGGTGCTGGAGGACAGACTGCTGTCTGACTGGCTGACCTACCGCCGCCTCTATCTCCCGCCGAGCCACCCGGACGACCTCATCAGGCCAGGCCTCTTCCATGGCAAATACGATGGCTTCGGCCCAATGATTGCCATGCTCAGCTTCCATGGGAAGTATGCCAGGGTCACCAAGATCACAGGAGACTCCATGGGGACATTAGAGATCCACCTCAGGCGCCGCATCCAGCTGCGAGATGGCGAGATCTTCCGCAACTTCAACGAGCTCTCCCATGTGGTCCAGGAGATTGACGAGCAGGTGATCTGGGAGCAGCAGCAGCTGCAAGAAGACGTGACTGAGGAAAGCGAGGGCCATGGCTGGCAGAGCCCTGCCCAGCCCAGCGTCGGGGAGTCTGGGACTGCAGCTTCGGAGGAGCAGACTGTCCCGTTTGTTCTGCCTGTGGGCGGGCGCTCAAGAGACCAGAACTACCCCCGAACCTGCAAGATGTGTTTCTATGGCGTTTACATTGGTCCCTTAGCTCCCTTCGGCTACCCCAGGCGCTACCCTGGAGTCTTCATCCTGTTGGATGAGAACCACTTCGAGTTCATCTGGCTGGAGAAGAAATACTTCATCCTGTTCGGCAGAGTCCAGAACACCTTCCAGAATGTGGAGGCACCATCCCCGCAGACCTTACTGGAGATGCTCTCGACATTAAGTCCAGACCCCTTGGTAGGAGCAGCTTGCATGCACTTTGAAGATTTGACCTTCTGACCAGGTTACCCACCTTTTTTGTTTTTTTAATCCTCACCCAAGGATATTTTCCCATTGATGTTTAGAGAGAGTGGGGGAGAGAGAGAAAGACAGAAATATTCGATGTGAGAGAAACATCAGTTGTTTGTCTCCTACCCAAGCCCGGACCAGGACCAGGCTGGGTAGGGGCCAGAAATTGAGGCAGAAATAAACCTTAGACCAGTGGTCTCAACCTTCCTAATGCCGTGACCCTTTAATACAGTTCCTCATGTTGTGGTGACCCCCAATTTCATTGTTACAAATTGAACATAATTAAAGCATAGTGATTAATCACACAAAAAATAAAGATATCTTAGTTAATGGAAAAAAAAAAGAAGAATGGTAACATCTACATCTAATCTAAGTTAAAGGTAAGCATCATCCAAAAAATCTTTAAGATATATCAGTAGATTTCTCACATTTAAGTATTCCTTTGTGTAGTAAAACAGTTCATAGATTATAGTGAGACAATCACTCTCACTGTTTTAACAAATCAGTGATTTTGTTTGTAATAGCCTATCTAATAACAGCGCAATATGCAAATTAACCATCACTCCAACACACAAGATGGCCGCCCCCATGTTGTCAAAGGTGGCTGCCCCATATGGACACAAGATGGATGCCACAAGATGGCCAGCAGGGGAGGGCAGTTATGGGCGATCAGACCAGTAGGGGAGGGCAGTTGGGAGGGACTAGGCCTTAAAGGGAGAGCAGTTGGGGGCGATCAGGCCTGCCGGGGAGGGCAGTTAGGGGCAATCGGGTTGGCAGGGGAGCAGTTAGGCGTTGATCAGGCTGGCAGGGGAGTGGTTAGGGGGTGATCAGGCTGGCAGGCAGAAACAGTTAGGGGAAGTCAGAGAGTCAGGCAGGTGAGCGGTTGGGAGCCAGCAGTCCTGGATTGTGAGAGGGATGTCCCAGATTGGAGAGGGTTCAGGCTGGGCTGAGGGACAACCCCCATCCCCCTGTGCATGAATTTCGTGCACCAGGTCTCTAGTATAATAATAAATAACACACTTATGGATTTGTTAGGTGCCAAGTTGGGGGCCGGAATGGGAGAACCTAATGTATCACTTCAGTCACGTGTTCATCTCTCTTCTTCTAATCCCAGTTATGTTTTTACACTGAAACATACTTAATCTAGGTGACCTCATCCTTAACCCTTTTTCTGCTAGAAACTTGTCAGTTGACCTTCCTTATTTTTCTCCCATCCAGAGCTTCTTGACTGCCTAACATTTGTGTAGCCCTATGATAGGTACATGGAATGGTGTGCCCAATGTTTGTGATAGACAATAAACACTGAAGGAATTTAGATGAGGTAGAGATTTCTGTGGGCTGGAGGGGTTAGGAAGGCCTCATGAAGGTGGTGGGAATTGAACTGCTTCCTGAGGCATAAGAATATACTGGAGTTGGTTGCAAAAGGTCCTGCTTAATTAGAGGTAAAAAAGAGTCAGAGGTTAGAAGAGTGCTCTCCAAAGGGTTTTCAAACCTGTGCAGTAAAACTCAGGTTAGTTACAGGTGCTTCAGACGTTCTGAATGGAACTTTATATGAAAATGTATTTTAATCCTTTTAAAAAAAGTAACAAAGTATACACTCAAATTTTGTATTTGCCACATTATAATATATTACTTATCACTTTTGTGACATCAGTTTATTTATTTCACTCTGGCCTGGAATAAAATTTCTGCCGCCATTTTGTCTGTATTCAGAAAGCAATGTGAGATTGCTAAGAGAGTTAATATAAAACTTACGCCTTTTTCAGCTTCTTATCAGTGTGAATCATGATTTTTTTCTCAATAAAGTGCAATAAATAAATTTTCATGCTGCATTTGAGAGCTTATGCATGTATATTACATGCTTATTTGATAAGACCACAACTGTTATTTGACTTCTCCAATTTAAAGTTTTTATAAATTCTATGATTGATCTACTTAGAACTTTTAGCTATTTTATAAAGTGTCTTTTAGGAAGGCTCATCTATGAAAAAGCAAAATAAAATTCTGCTAAAAATGTTGAAGGCCATAGCCTAAGGTCATCTGGTCTCTACTCAGTCTTAAAGGAAGAGAGTCGGGTATATGGAATATTTTGTGTTTATTTGCAAAAAACCTTTGCACAGTAAAATGACATGTTGATAGCTGGGAAGATTTGATAGTCTGCAAGGGATGAAACGGGGAGAAAATAGAGCCACAGAGAGTATGTCGAAGACAACTGCTGCCTGACATCTTGGAGGGGAGAGAGTCTGGAGAGGAATGATGGTGATAACAACAAAGGAGAGGAAGTATTGTTACGAAATTACTGGAAATTAATGTTGTTGACAGGATATTGAGAGATTGAAGAAGAAAGGGTAGGAAGCAAGAGATGCCCAAATTTTGGAACAGAGTTTTAGAGATAAAGGAATAAAGATTGAAGAGATGATGATGGCTTTAGTTTTATACATGTTTCATTTTATTACTAAAAGTTATGTCCTTAGGGGACTTATCCAAATAGAGCAATCCAGACCTCATGATCAACGGTGTTATTAGGAAAAATGAGCAATGGAAGTTTGTAGATTCAAGGCTCCATTTTGGAGAGTGATTTCTGGTTTCTTGTGGTGCTCATATCATCTTCTGATTTGTTCCTGACATTCTGGAAAAATATCCAGGTAGATCCAAGTACTCTGATTATTTATTGTTCAAATCTTTGCCTGTATTCCTCTTCATTTCACATTTCAGGATAAAATGAGTAACAAAATGTCTAAATTGTACACACTTTACAACATGGACAAAGGAGTGAAGATTCTTAAGAGATGTAAAATTGCCCGGCCAGTGTGGCTCTGTGGTTGAGCCTCAACCTACAAACCAGGAAGTCACAGTTTGATTCCCTCTCAGGGCACATGCCCGGGTGGGCTTGATCCCCAGTGTGGGCAGCCAGTCAATGATTCTCTCTCATCATTTTTGTTTCTATCTCCCTCTCCCTCTACCTTCCTCTCTGAAATCAATAAAAGTGTGTGTGTGTGTGTGTGTGTGTGTTTAAAGAGATGTAAAATCATAATGCCTAGGTAGGTTTTAAGAAACTGACTTCTGTTGACCTCTGCTTTTAGCCTGAATATCCAAAGATCTCCCTCCAATTTCTTTTGAGTATTGCTTTTTTTAAAAGCATTGAAAATACCATGGCTTTTGCTCTAGATAATTAGAGCCCAACACTAGATTTCTAGGAGTGATGCTGAAAGGTGGATTGGAACGTGCATGACAATAGAAATGTTTGCCACATGCTTTACACAACATAATCCATACAGAGCCTCGTGGAAACATACCATTCATAGGAAAAAACCTTAAATATAGGGAAGGTACATACAAAAAGCTAAACATAGCTAATATTTATTAAGCACTTACAATGTGCCAGGCATCATGGTAAGCCTTTTATAAAAATAGTTTCTATGGGCGAATTTTTATCCATTTTATAGGTGGGAAAATGGAACCTAGAGAGTTTAACCACCATGTTCAAAATCACACAGCAAGTAAATAGGTGGAGGCAGAATTTGAGTTCACTTCTGACCCCAAGGTGACCTCAAAGTCCATAACTTCAACCCTTCTGCTGAAAAACCTCTAGAAGGAAATAGAAAAGCACACACCAGCATGTGTTGACAGACCATTTTAAGGGCCATAGGACTGAAATTGTTGTTACACAATTTCACCCAGCCACGAGAACGAGACTCTGGCTTACCTGAAAAGGTTACATCTGCAAGATGTAAAAACTTTCTTGGATTAGCTTGCCTTTTCACTATGGTGAGCTCAAAAGTAATAGCTTTTCCAGTCACGACACTTGTAATTTGGCTGGAGGATGTGAACGGCCCTTCCTGGACTACAAGCTTGACAGCTGTTCCCATTTACACAGTAGGTGAAAATTTATATTTAAAAAATAGTGGCTCATAAAGAAAGAATATGGAACAATGACAACTGCAAAAAAGGGGAATAATTATACTCATGAAAAGTGAACTGGTGAGCGATACATTATTTTTTTAAGCAAGATGTGTTGTGGCATTAAAAAAAAATGGTGTCTTTAATTAATTCTGCGTAACGTTCAAAGAATAAGGTCACCCATACCAAAAATTGTTGAATAAAGCAAAAATCTAAGAAAGATATACTCTGATGTCACTAATAACAAAGAAGGGTTATTTTCTGGTCAATACTACACCATTATTTTTTAGTTAGAGGTATTACAATTGAAAATAGTGGCTATAATAACCTAATGAGACTATAACATAAAATATACCTTGTTTGACATAAACGATGTAATCATAAACCAGAGTTATTTCTAGAGAACAAAAGTAATTACTTCAATAAGAAAAATTTAAGCTAGATCTCAGAGAATACCCATGTATACCCATTTTTTCACCTATAAACAGACTATCGTGTAATTTGCTTTACGGTTTACAAAGGACTTTCACATACATTCTGGATGGAACAAACATCCCATTTGGCAGATGAGAAAATTATGGTGCTCAAGAACAGAGCTAGTAAACAAGATTTGAACCCAGGTCATCAACCTGGATTCTCTGCCACCAATTCCTGTGCCCTCTCCACAGTATGTTCTTTCCAGAAATGGTTGGGATCCTCTTCAACAAATTGTATGCATAGGAACATTGTCTAAGTTGTAGATGGGGATAGAGTTGAGGATGGGCAAGAGGTAAACTGACTGCATGCTCTCATTTGGAGTTGATTAAGGAACGATGATGACATAAGGATTACGGATGCCCAGGGACAGCTAAAAGTTTCATGTCCCTATGAACTGATAGTTGTAAAATAATTTTTAGCTCCTATTTAGAGGAGAGGTAGAATAGAGAGGACCTCTGGTGGCTTCTCCAGCTGTTATTGCCTTGCTCTTTCCTGTACTTCATGGCCTTGGAAGGAGCATGGCTGCTGGGGTCCAGCCCCAGCAGGTCCAGGGGTCCCCAAAGGTGTCGGGGATGAAGTCAGCAAAGAAGGAATGACACAGAGGCAGCATTCAG